TTCGCCACACAGTGGCTTCATCAGTCCATACAAAGGATAAACTTGAAGAACAGGAGGAGAATGGGGTGATCAGTCCCTCAACCTTGAGCCAATGTGGTCAGTCCATCAATCTTGAGTAGAATACGGCATATCAGCGGAGAAGCGGAATTCTTCGCTTGCCTAACCCTTGGGCACGACCTACTTCCACATTGGACAAATGTGACACCACCTACGACTGCTGCACCTCTCCTGTCTACGGTTTATAAGCTGCTTCTCCACTGATATGACGTATTCTACTCAAGATTGATGGACTGACCACATTGACTCAAGGTTGAGGGACTGATCACCTCATTCTCCTCCTGTTCTTCAAGTTTATCCTTTGTATGGACTGATGAAGCCACTGTGTGGCGAAACGTTTCCTCAATAAAGATACCCAAGAGTTGCACATGTGTAATTTAACATGTCGGTTCTCTGAACCATTCATCTACAAGCCTGCTCTAAACCCATGTTGCTCTGGGTTGTCTAACTGATGGGTGTCTAGGTGGGTGGCGATCTTGCTTCTTAGAACTCTTTCAAAGATTTCATGATATGGGACGTTAGTGTTATCGGTCTATAATTCTTTGCATTTGCGTTACTGCCACCTTTGTGGAGGGGGAGGCTATGTCTGATGTTTTTAGTGACTGTGGGTTGATCCCTGTGTCCATGTTCCCCCCTCCATAAGATGCTGAAGACACGTGAAAGGAGCTTATTACAGTTCTTGATAAACACGGAGTTCCACGAGTCTGGGCCTAGGGCCGAGTGCATGGGCATGTCATTTATTTCATTTTCGAAGTTACTTGGCGTCATGGTAATATCAGATAGGTTCGAGTCTGCCAGATTCTGTCTCTCTCTCTCTCTCTCTCTCTCTCTCTCTCTCATAAAACATTAATTTAGATCTTCGACTCTCAGTCTGGTTAGCGGCTCGCTAAAACCCGAGTCATACTGGGACTTGAGTAACTCACTCATTTCCTTGCTGTCATTTGTGTAGGACCCATCTTGTTTAAGTAGGGGCCCAATACTGGATGTTGTTCTCGACTTTGATTTAGCATTAGAAAATAAATATTTTGGGTTTCTATCAATTTCATTAAAGGCTTTTAGTTCTTCCTGCATTTCTTGACTCCTGTAAGATTCCTTTAGCTTTAGTTCGACGTTTGTTATTTCTTTGACCAGTGTCTCCCTATGTATTACAGATATATTGGCCTCTTTTAGCTGCTCTGTTGTTCTTAGCCTTCGCCTGTATAGGGAGTCTTTCTCTTTCTAGTTTACATCTTCTCCTCCTTTTCCTTATGGGAATGTGCCTTGAGCATACCTCAAGTGCCCCCGAGTTAATATGTTCTAGACATAGGTTTGGATCCATATTGCTTAGGCTATCTTCGCAGTTTATATCACTTAGGACCTGGTTTACTTGGTCCCACCTTACATTTTTGTTATTGAAGTTGAATTTGGCGAAGGCTCCCTCGTGACTGATCACATTTTGTCAGTCTGGGGCCCAGCACATACATATCTGAACCTCTATTATGTTGTGATCTGAGTATGTTTTTCATATGGTAATATTTCGTATCAGATCATCATTGTTAGTGAAGATGAGGTCCAGTGTATTCTCCAATCTTGTAGGCTCAATTATTTGCTGGTTTAAGGTTAATCTGGTGCAGCTCGTGTGTGTGCGAGTTTTCATCTGGCCCCTGGTGTTATCTCTGTTGCAACATTATTTGCTACATTCCTCCATTTTAGGTGCCTTAGTTTGAAATCCCCCAGGAGCAAGATGTTGGGGGCAAGAGCTGGAAGATTTTCCAGACATTGATAAATTTTCACAAGCTGTTCCTGGAGTTGTTGGGAAGTTGCATCCGGAGGCCTGTATATAACCACAATGACCGGGTTTTGGTCCTCGATCTTTACTGCCATAACTTCAACTACAACATTTGAGGCATTTGTAGTTCCGAGCATATAAGTGACTCTGTGATATACAGGCCAACCCCTACTCCCTCAGTTTTATTGATGGCTTTAAGTTCTTCCTGAGTTTCTTGGCTCCTGTAAGATTCCTTAAGCTTAAGTTCAATATTTATTTCTCTAACCAGTGCCTCCCTTCGTATTTCGGATATATTGGCCCATTTCAGCAGCTCTGTGATTCTTTGCCTTCGCCTGTATTGGGAGCTTACTTAACATACCTAAGTTAGATAAAACACAAATTACATAGGGTAAAGTTAGGCAAGGCAAAGTTAAGTTGAAGTTAAGTTACTTTAATATAATGAGTGTTGTGAATTTCATAATTATCATGAACCATGCTAACCGGTAAGCATACAAATACAATCAGTTCCCTATGGCTGCAACACACAAGGATAGAAATGCCTGTAATGCTATCTATATGGCCAGGCGAACTCCTGTTATTCCAACCTCCTGGTCTCACTGGCAGTAGTGCTTGATTTCCTATGTAGGATGATGCACCTTGCAGAGTGTATGAATAAGTTATTGTGGACACTCAGAGGAGTCAAGATTGAACCTCGACTGCATGGCAGCAAGGGTTCACTTGATATTAGGGTCACACACAATTATCGGCTCCTCAGCTAGGTGCGACCCTTAAATATAAAGTTAGTTTAATATATTTACCATGCGCTTCATACCCAGCCTGTGGGCGGTAGTCAAAAGTTTACAGAGGTACATAAAGGGTCCAGGGACTGGACCGCAAAGTTTTGATAGCTGAATAAGTTACAAAGGTAATGAATTACTTGCATGTTTATATCTGGTCACAGGTGTAATGAGTTATTAATGCGAATATTAATTAGGTCACAGAAGAAAAAAGTGAGCCATAGCTTTTGCCAACCTTAGCACTGGATTATTATTATTATAATCAGGGGGGAAGCGCTAAACCCGGAGGATTATACAACGCTTGGGGGGGGGGGGATTTGGAAGGTATTCAGGCTTAATTCGGGGAACTGGAACATCCAATTCCCTAAATCAAGAGCCCCTCACCAACATCAAGGAACCTTCCTTCAGGGGTTAGCACTGGAAGGTCAGCTACCTCCTAAACACGGGTGACATTGACCTCGGTCTCACTGAGACGTTTGTCATCACTATTTTGCCTGCTGGGCTTGATTGCTAGTGCACTCAGCTTACACACTTAGGTCCGGGGGTCGATTCCCGGTACGGCCGAAATGTGAGGACGTGTTTCCTTAAGATACCTCTATAAAGATTACAATGTTGAATTTACAGAATTTGGTTATTGTGTGGTTTACATGTAGTTAAATAATGATTACAGAGTGTACCACTAGAACGCCTAGCATGGCTAGGCATTTCGGGCAGACTTAGTTTAATTCTTTATTTTAAAATATTACAAATTATGAGGTAAGTTGGTATTATGGCTAAGTGACTAAATACTAGTTTGTGAGTTTAGCAATGTGAATGCTTTTGTTTTGGCACAGTACATAGTTTCAGTATTGGAGTATCATAGGATTCATTATTTTAAGATTGAGATTAATATTTCTGTTTATGGTCAAATGGGTGAGTGAGTGTAAGTGTGAACCACCAGGTGGTATTCGTGTAGTTAGTTGACGGTGTGTATCAGGGAGATAAGATGTTTTCTAATGGTAGTTTTGAAGGTGATGAATGTGTCTGCAGTTCTAGAGTTTTCAGGTAGGGTGTTCCAGATTTTAGGGCCTTTGACATACATTGAATTTTTGTAAAGGTTTAGTCGGACACGGGGAATGTCGTAGAGATGTTTGTGTCTGGTGTTATGCCTGCTGTCCATGTTCACCTAATCAGTAAAATAGGTACCTGGGAGTTAGTCGACTGGTGTGGGTTGCATCCTGGGACGAAATTGACCTAATTTGCCTGAAATGCTCAGCATAGCAAGCGATTCTGTATAATAATAATAATAATAATAATAATAATATTATTATTATTATTATTATTGTAGTAGTAGTAGTAGTAGTATGTCATGTTAGCTAGGCCTGTATGCCTTGTACATGTGGAAATAAAGATTTTATTATTATTATTATTATTATTATTATTATTATTATTATTATTATTATGATTATTATTGTTATTATTATTATTGTTATTATTATTGTTTTTATAGGTTGTGTACTGCATTAGTTCTATAAAGGGTTCCCCTCAAGGAAGGTTCCTTGATGTTGGGGAGGGGCTCTTGATTTAGGGAATTGGATCTGTGCTCCAGTTCCCCGAATTAAGCCTGAATGCCTTCCACATCCCCCCCAGGCGCTGTATAATCCTCCGGGTTTAGCGCTTCCCCCTTGATTATAATAATAATCTATAAAGGGTTAATTGTGAAGGGGTTATCCAGTATGTTAGTATATATGATAATTGTAATCACCAAAATTTGCATGACTGCACTTGTGTAACTACCTCAGTGAATTTACTGCATTAGTTTTGAGAGAGGAGTTAGCTGTGCAGGGGAATTAGCATTAGTTGTGTAAGGGGTTAAGGAGAAGTGGGAAGACAACCCACAAATTACATTGATGGGAACTTAGTGCCTATCCAACTCCCTCTTGAAGACAGCTGTTATCTGCCAGGGTGGTGGGAAGTGCTGTTTTCCTAACATAATACAGTTCATGTAGTACAAACATTTTTATGTGTCTGTTATTTGAATCCAATTTCATTCACTTGTCTCTTGAATTTTATGTTCTAGTAATTCTTTAGAGACAACATTCAGATCACCAGCTTCAGTACTGTCATGCCATTGATTTCTCGTATTCTCTCAGAAACACTATGTATACCTAATTCTTTCCTCATATTTAGTACGTATTTTGGTAGTTATAGGACAATTCAGAGCAACTCTCAAGGATTCATTTTTTCTTTTTTCAAGCCTTTCAATAGTTCTACTGTGTTGAACTCAAACTGGTGTATGGTGATCTTTCAATGATCTCATATATGCTAAGTACATCACATGTAGTAATTAAGAATGATTATTTCTGTTTTCAATTGTTTTCCCATTACCTAAATTTTCTGATGGAAACTTGTATGGGCAGGATGGCAAGCTAGCGGATAAGCTGCTCAACAAATTCGGGCAAGATGTGGAGGATAAAATGCTAGCCATCTGCTCTGGGCTGGACTATGTTAACATCAACTACACCAACATTGTCTGTAAAACAAAAGAAGAGGCAGATGTGAGTTATCTTTAAATTCTCAGTTTTTTTTTTTTTATTTTTTGATATGTTACTTTATGTATGATAGGTGTGTGAGTTGTATTTCTTAAGTTAATTGTGGAAGTTAATTGTCTTGAGTGCATGAACCAGAGTCCAATGATTCCTTAATTGTATTTTTTCTTTTCAATTTTGTATGCTGGATATTGTCATCAATACTTTTTTAAAAGTTTTCATTCATATCCATATCATGTTACTTTGACCATTTTCCATTTAGTTTTCACTGAAAAGTCTTAAATGATACATGAATTTACTTGTATATTTCTTCCTGATTACAGTAGATTTTATTTGGATTATTAACCCAGAGGATTAGTAACCCAAGATGCCAAAAAAAAAAAAATAGTCAAGTGTGGCTTATTTTCATTGGGAACTTTTGATAGCCTCTGCATGGATGTGACCCACGAGTCACCTATTACCTACTGTATTTCCTGACATATAATGCACCTTCTTTTCCTACACAAAGTCTTGGAAAAATCAGCCTGCACCTTATATATTCAATGTTAGGGTCAAGGGTAGGCTTTGGGTCACACTTTAGCAATTGTTTACTAACGTTACAACTGCTTGGAAACATCGTCTTCTATGGTCGTGTGCTTTATGTGTCAGAAAATACAGTACTTATTGCTAGTTAAAGAGGGGCAACAGGTTTAAGAAACATGCCTAACTTTTCCACTTGCTGTGTTATGTCATATACCTCTGTGTGGTAGCTGTGATGTGCAGTGTTATATCCTACCCTTCAGTTTGATAGCTGTAATGTGCAATATCCTACTCTTCAGTGTGGTAACTATTATGTGCTGTGTTATATCCTGCCCTTCAGTGTGGTAACTGTTATGTGCAGTGTTATATCCTACCCTTCAGTGTGGTAACTGTTATGTGCAGTGTTATATCCTACCCTTCAGTGTGGTAACTGTTATGTGCAGTGTTATATCCTACCCTTCAGTGTGGTAACTGTTATGTGCAGTGTTATATCCTACCCTTCAGTGTGGTAACTGTTATGTGCAGTGTTATATCCTACCCTTCAGTCTGATAGCTGTCATATGCAGTGTTATATCCTTCCTACCTTCAGTATGGTAGCTGTCATGCACAGTGTTATATCCAACACCTAAGTGTGGTAACTCATGTATAGTGTTATATCCAATACACCAATGTGACAGCTGTCATGTGCAGTCTTGTATTCTACATGTAGGATCTTAACGTTTCTTGATATTAAATAGCATATGCCAATCATCAGTCTTATTTAAAGTTTGTGCAGATCATTTTACACTAAAGTATTCGATATTTTTGGTCAACTATACGTGCTTATTGGAAATAAATGGTCATCATCTGGTCCCCATCTTGGTTGACAACTGAACTTAGGGTTAACTCACTAAACTCCATTGTTAATACAGTGGACCCCCGCATACCGTCGGCATCACATAACGTTCAATCCGCATACCGCTCGCTTTTATCGCAAAAATTTTGCCTCGCATACCGCTCAAAAACTCGCTCACCGCTCTTCGTCCGAGACGCGTCCAATGTGCGCCCTTAGCCAGCCTCACATGTGCCGCCGGTGGCATTGTTTACCAGCCAGCCTCCGCGGTAACATTCAAGCATACAATTGGAACATTTCGTATTATTACAGTGTTTTTGGTGATTTTATCTGCAAAATAAGTGACCATGGGCCCCAAGAAAGCTTCTAGTGCCAACCCTACAGCAATAAGGGTGAGAATTACTATAGAGATGAAGAAAAAGATCATTGATAAGTATGAAAGTGGAGTGCGTGTCTCCGAGCTGGCCAGGTTGTATAATAAACCCCAATCAACCATTGCTACTATTGGTGGTACAGCTGCTGCTGCTGCTGCTGCTGCTGCTGCTGTAGCATCGTCTGCTGCTGCTGTAGCATCGTCTGCTGCTGCTGTAGCATCGTCTGCTGCTGCTGTAGCATCGTCTGCTGCTGCTGTAGCATCGTCTGCTGCTGCTGTAGCATCGTCTGCTGCTGCTGTAGAACTGTCAGCTGCTGCTGCTGCTGCTGCTGCTGTAGTACCGTTGTTGGTGTGGCTTATTGAGAATACCAAGAAACAATTAACCCCAGAGGATTTGCCACCCAGGATAACCCAAAAAAGTCAGTGTCATCGAAGACTGTCTAACTTATTTCCATTGGGGTCCTTAATCTTGTCTCCCAGGATGCAACCCACACCAGTCGACTAACACCCAGGTGAACAGGGAAAAATGCCTGAAACTAGTGCTCATATTGGTGAATTTAAAGCCAGCAAAGGTTGGTTTGAGAGATTTAAGAATCGTAGTGGCATACACAGTGTGATAAGGCCTGTTCTGGAAGAAAATGCCAAACAGGACCTACAGTACTCAGGAGGAAAAGGCACTCCCAGGACACAGTGTCTCATCAGTCATTGCTGCATCTTCAATAAAGGTAAGTGTCATTTATTCTTCATTTAGTAGAGTAGTACATGCACAATATATATTGTGCATGTACTACTCTACTATTGTGCATGTATCCTTCTCTTTGTGTGTAGGAAAATATATATTTCATGTGGTAAAATTTTTTTTTTCATACTTTTGGGTGTCTTGCACGGATTAATTTGATTTCCATTATTTCTTATGGGGAAAATTCATTCGCATACCGATCATTTCGCATAACAATGAGCCCTCTTGCACGGATTAAAGTCGCTATGCGGGGGTCCACTGTACTGTATTTTAACTTGAATTTGTATATGAGCTTGGCAGGGTCCTCTCACGTTCACATAATAAGAGAGGCTTGAAACTTGCGTTGGTTCACCATAGGGGGTCTTAACGACCAGGTCTTACTGGTAGAGTATATACACTGAGAGGCATATACATACAGGTCTCCCTCAACATTCGCGAGGGTTAGGGGATCAAGAGCCTCGCGAATGTTGAAAAACCGTGAATGTTTGGTGCCCCAATATATTGTAGGGAAATATACGTATTACAATACTGCTTCCTTAACTTGTTGAACCATGAATAATCATAAAATACATGAAAATGTCATAAATTGTAATAAATATATACATGTTATGCTTTCACAACGTATGTTATTTAATAACATGTATGTTATTAAATACCACAGACTCCACCACTGCCTCCACCAATGCCTCCACCACTGCGAGTCCCTACTACCCTCCCTCCGACCCCTGCAACTGGCAGCCAGCCCTCCCACCACTCAGTGTGGTGAGTGTTTTGTTTGTTCATTATTTGCTATTAAACTACAGAATAAATAATGTAAACCCATTCATGACTGCATATTGGAATGGCTATTAGGAAAGGTATTAGATGGTGACATCATGTGTTTACTCTTGAACACAGCAAAGAATCGAACATTTCTGCTATTGCTAATAATAACAATAGTAATAATAATAATAATAATAATAATAATAAATACAATATAATTGAAGAAGGAAATTGTACAAAAATACGAGGGAGTGGTTGACACATCATCAGTGTGACTTTGTTTATGCTGGAGTGAACATTAGTCTCCCTGCTCTTCCAAACATTTCACAATAATTCAGCGGTTGAGGCAGTGGTATTTAATAACATATATGTTATAAATAATAATAGTACATGTTATTATTAATAACATGTATTATTATTAACATGTATGCATTTAATAACATATATGTTATAAATAATAATAGTACAGATTATTAATAACATGTATTATTATTAACATGTATGTTATTAAATACCATTGCCTCAATCACTGCCTCTACCACTCCAGTCACACTCAATCTACAAGCACCAAACACAATGAATTATTGTGAAATGTTTGGAAGAGCAGGAAGACTAATGTTCACTCCAGCATAAACAAAGTCACACTGACGATGTGTCAACCACTCCCTCGTATTTTTGTACAATTTCCTTCTTCAATTATATCATATTTATTATTATTACTATTGTTATTATTAGCTGTAGCAGAAATGTTTAACTCTCTGCAGTGTTCAAGAGTAAACACATGATTTCACCATCTAATACCTTTCCTAATAGCCATTCCAATATGCAGTCATGAATGGGTTTACATTATTTATTCTGTAGTTTAATAGCAAATAATGAACAAACAAAACACTCACCACACTGAGTGGTGGGAGGGCTGGCTGCCAGTTGCGGGGGTCGGAGGGAGGGTAGTAGGGACTCGCAGGTGGCGGGAAACTTAAATATGATTTGGCGGCTGGGAATTTGGTGGCTGGGAATTCGGCGGTTGGGAATTCGCGAATGTGTGAAGCCCATGAAAGTTGAAAACGTGAATGTTGAGGGAGACCTGTATACAGTATATCTCAGGAATATGTACTGATTAGTTATTTTAGTCTCCATTTCAAGGCTTCAGGTACTGTATATTTAATATTAGTGTCTTGGTGAATTATGGCTTTACTGAACTTACTGTTATTGTTGCTAAACCTTTAAACTTCAAAAGTGAGTAATAATGTGCTGTACTGGACAACATTTTTGTACCTCTATCCGAATCCTTACCTAGTGCATTCCAAGCACTTTCTACTCTCATGCTGTAGTTTTTCTTATACAGTGGAACCTCAAATATTGAACTTAATCCGTTCCAAGAGTTAGTTCTAAATTCGAAAAGTCTGAAAAGTGAAGCAATATTTCCCATAAGAAATAACAGAAATACAATTAATCCGTTCCAGAAACCCAAAAATATTCACAAAAAAAAAAAAATACATTTTATAGAGATTAATTATAGTTTTACATACACACAACAAATATAGTGTTCAATTATGTATTAATAAATTTAAATAACATAAAATAACATTTTACTTACCTTTATTGAAGATTGGTGATGGCATCTGGAAGATAGGGAGGAGAGAGGGAGTTGGGGTTAGTGTTTGGAAGGAGAATCCCCATCGATGAGGACTTCAGGTATCAAAGCCCTCTCTGGGGTTACTTCCCTTCTCTGTCTTTTAATGCCACTAGGACCAGCTTGAAAGTCACTGGACCCCTGTCTCACA